AGTCACACTGCTCTGAACTGAGCCTGCCTCTTTTCTGCTGCATGGGGTGGCAAGGGTTACACCCCCCTGGTCACCATGCAGCTGGGGCTTGAGGAACAGGGTGGAGTCTGCTGCTGCCTGAAAATGAGTTCAGCACTTTGTGGTCTGTGCTTGAAGAGGCAACATTCCCCTCTCCCTTCCTCCCCCCCTCCCCCACACAAATACCTGTATTCAAAAATAATAATATAAAGAGAACACTGTACATTTTGTATTCTATATTGTAGTTGAAATCAATATGATAGAAAACACCCAAAATATTTAATTATATTATCATTACTTAATGGTGTGATTAAAACTGCAATTAATCACAACTTTTTTTAATCTTGTGGTTGTGATATATTTTGTAAATTATTTTCAAGCCCTAGTCTGGACCAGTGTGTGCTATGTTGGGACTGGAGCACAGTATGGACACATGTGGGATGGCTTAGTTGGGGTTGGTTCTGTGTTGGGCGGGGGGTTGGACTCAGTGCTTCCTCCAGCCCTGGGCTCCTGTGTGGAGAGAGAAAAGCAGCCCCTCCCCCCAAGAAAGCTCAGTTCATACAGACAGAGGGAGCTGAACTGCTCTTATTGCAAGCACATGAATCTCATCTCCCAGATCCAACAAGCACTCATTTCTTCCTTGGGCACCGCTCTCCTGCATGTGGAGAAGAGCTTTAGCTGTTTTCAGTGCTGCAGTAAGAAGGGACTGGACTAAATTTGGGATAATCTATCACATGGGAATCTAAAGTTACATGTTTACTAAAAATTGGAGACACCTGCTTACTACTGTGTCAAACTTATTTCACATTTTAAATGGAATTATTTTAATATTCCTCCATGCATTGGTTCTTTATTTGCACTATACACGTATGTATAATATATCAGGTGTTTGCTTAATCTCCCTCATTGGAGAAGGCTCCATCTAGTCTTTGCTTTTGAAATTCTCTATTGCGATGCCCAAGAGCCCTTTGCAAGAATTCTATGGCAATGCAATCCCTGTCCCCTTGTGACAAAATTGTGCTCCAGCATCTCAAATTTCATTTTATAAAATTATTTCATGTGGGGTCAGAACATTGGTCCATCCATCCCCGTATCCTGTTTTTCATCTGGCCTCTGCCCTCTACTTCAGAGGTTGGTCAGGACAATTTATTTGAATGATCCATCTCCAATTTCTTAGTTCCAGCTTTTGGCAGGCAGAGTTTTAGGGGGACACAGCATAGGTTTGGGTCCCTGCCCATCTTGGCTAATGGACACTGATGATGGACCATAAGATTGTGTAATTATTTTTAACCCATTTAACATTTTGGCCTGCTCAACATCCTGGATCAACAAGTTCCACAGGTTGACTGTGTACTGTGTGAAGAAATACGGTCTAGTGTTTGTATTAAATTTGCTGCCTATTAATTTCAGTGGGTGACCTCTCATTTTAAAGACCTGTATATCGCCCCTTAAACATCAGGTTTTTTTAATCTTTGCTCTTATAGAAGTTGTTCCATCACCCTTATTGTTACCTTTCTTCATGCATTTTTTTGTTTGTTTAATTCCAATATAACTGGCTAGAGCAGGGCTACAATGATACTCTCAACATATGCTGAGGGCCACAACTTACATGTTTGTTGCATATACATGCAAATAGCTTTCACACTGAGGGGCATGAACACAAAGATTAAGGCAAGACTACACAACAAGGCTGTGTCTAGACTGGCATGATTTTCCGGAAATGCATTTAACGGAAAAGTTTTCCATTAAAAGCCTTTTCGGAAAAGCGCGTCTAGATTGGCATAGATGCTTTTCTGCAAAATCTAGACACGCTTTTCTGCAAAAAAGCCCCAATCGCCATTTTTGTGATCGGGGCTTTTTTGCGGAAAACAAACCTAAGCTGTCTACACTGACCCTTTTTTGCGCAAAAGTTTTGCCTGAACGGGAGCAGCATAGTATTTCTGCAAGAAGCACTGATTTCTTACAGTAAGAAGTCAGTGCTTTTGCAGAAATTCAAGCGGCCAGTGTAGACAGCTGGCAAGTTTTTCTGGAAAAGCGGCTGATTTTCTGGAAAAACTGGCCAGTCTAGACACAGCCCAAGGCTATATAGAGGCATTGTTTTCAAAATAACTTTTGAAAAATGTAAACAGCTGGAGGATTTTCCTAAGGCCTGGTCTACACAAAGTTAGGTCAACCTAACTACATTGCATGGGAGTGTGAAAAATCCACACCCTGAGTGGTATAGTTCAGTAGACATCACCCCCAATGTGGATAGCATTAGGCCAGTGGAAGAATTATTCAATCAACCTAGCTACGGCATCCTGGGGAGGAGGAACCCCTTCTGTTGACATAGGTAATGTCTCTACACTGAATCAGTACAGCAGTGCAGTGGCAGTACTCCTAGTTTAGACAAGCCCTAAATCTGCAGAACATCAAACAATATCCCACTGAGGTGTCAACTTCCTGTTAATAGGGCATTGCCTCACATTTAAGTATGTCAACACCCTGTCATTTTAGATGACACACCCAACAAGTGCTTATTACACCATCTCAAAATGCTTAACACAGTTGCATGGATGACAAAACCCAACTGTTCCATAGCCTCAGGCTGCTCTGGTGCAATTACTTGTTGTCAGTACAAAAACATGACCTACTGACCACTACAGACACTTCATGTGAATTTAATTCTACATCACTGAGGAAACTATTGCAATGGTATTTTCATAATTAACAAACATCTATAGTGGCTCATTTTTTGCTGCTGATTACCCAGGTCCTTCAAATGGCTTCACCAATATCATTTAATCAGGTATTATAGAGTTGCCAGCCCCCATTAGCTTCTACTTCCCAGAACAATTACAGGGGAGGCGTAAGTTCTTATCCAGAACTGCTGTAGCTATATAAAGGAAAACAATTATTTTATTGTATTTCTGTAGCATGTAGGCACCCTATTCACTGATCAGGGCACCATTGTATTAGTTGCAATACACACACAGAACCAAAAAATGGCCCCAGCCTCCAGGGACTCTGTCTAAAACAAGACAGACTGATCTATGCATGTGCTAGTCCCTTAGTCCAAAGCTGGGCAGTAATTTTCACCGAGGGACCACTTCATGAATTTTGGTATGTGAGCATGGGCTGGAAGGGGTGTGATTCAGGGGTGGAGGGACTAAAAGTGTGAGAGACAGACACAAATTGCATGTGTGACTGACTGTGCTTGTGTACACCCACTCCCCTCCCCCCTGCACGCGCGCGCACAGTCTCTGCAAAGCAGGAGAGGGAGTCGTCAACAAAGAGGCCAGCTTTCCTAAAACATAGCTTCTCTCAGAAACTTACCCACTAGCAGCCAGCACAGTGTGTCACTTTTCTGTGGAGGGGGTGCAGGGTCTAGGATGGAGGTTGGACACAGAAGGGCACATGGGGTAAGGGACTGGGGTGCAGGAGAAGGTGTCAGAGGAAATTTGGGCAAATGGGGATGTGTAGGGAGAGGGTATGGGTGCAGGAGAGGATTCTTGGGCACTAGGAAGGGGGTACAAGGTCTGGGAGGGAGCTGTGACCTAGGGGAAAGGGGGTACAGAATACAGAGGGCTTGGGAGGTGACTAGGGTGCAGGAGAGGATTCTGGCCTGGGGAAAGGGCGGTACAGGATCTGGGAGAGAGTTGTGACCTGGGGCAGGGGAGTTCAGATAGAGACCTAGGGGAGGGAGTTGGGATGCTGGAGGGACAGGATTGCCAGAGGGAGGCTCTGGTTGGGAGATGTTTACCTAAGCCAGCAGCCCTGCAGCACCCCAAGGCAGGCTGGGCCCCCTGCCTGCTGCAGCCACAGATCACTTTATACTGCAGGCTGCTCCCTCCATGTGGGGCTCGGCTCTGGGAAGGGGAAGAGACTTGTGCTGCTCCCATCCTCCAAGCCAAGTTTTCAGATTTTATTGGCTGGTTGTTTCTGGCCACTAGGAACTGAAGATTGGGCTGCAGGTGGGGAGATTACACAAAGCTTTCCCCTCCCTGCAGAGCAGACACCCACCCACAAACTGAGCTTAAAACAGCTGTGTGCCTGAGGGTCCCACCCACCCACAGACTGAGCTTAAAACAGCTGTGTGCCTGAGGGTCCCAGACCTGTGGTTCACAGGCTGGTTCCAGCCCCCAGGACTGCATTTAGCCCAGCTCTGCTCTAAAGTAAAGTGTTACAACTTTTGCATATATTACGTAACAAAACTTAGCAGATGCTCTTGCTCCATGGGCAAAGTGTAGTATTGGTGTCTTACACCTGCTAGTCACCTAGGCTGTATTCTGCAAAAATCTTTTCAGCTTGTAGAGCACTTCTTAATAATCTCTTATCACAACCTCTACTGGTAGAAAGCAGCCACCAACTAGATCTGTGGTCAAAAATTCAAGACAAGGTATCAGTGCTCCCCTGTGAGGAAAGCACTGTGTTTTGGTTTTAGAAAGAAACCCGTGTTTCCATACTGAAAGGAGAACAGCTGCTTTGCAGCAAGCAGTCTCAGCTGGCATGTCACTGAAGAGATCACCACTGAAAATACCATTAAAGATAATTACTTGTGGAGAAACTAGATGTTAATAAGGCTAAAAAACTGAAGTCTTCGCTACTTGGGTTTTTTTAATATAGAACCTGAGGTGTGATTGTAAACAGCTGTTACACCAGTAAAATCCCCCTTAGGGGAAGATACACTTGCAAGAGTGCTTTTGTTCATGTCACATGGAAAATAAAAAATGCTGTTTTATATCAGACCAAGTGTCCAGATTATACCAGTGTAATTATACTATGGGAACCTAAATCTTTCCCACTTCAAGAAGCCCGTAGTCAAAGGATCTGTCCACACATGGTGCAAGGAAGCAAAATGGGAATAAAATGCTACCCATTCAGATTAGTCATGTCCATCCTCTTTGCACTCACTGGACAGATGGAAATAACTAGACAACTTGCAAGGCAGTGGAGAATCAGGCAGCAATCCTCATTTTGCCTGAGTATTGTTCTTGTGAAGATATTCCTTTGAGTAAGTTCAGAATTAAATTACTTTAATAAGCACAGCTGAGTAAATAGAATCAAGGGGTTTTCTGCTTTGTGCCGCCTATTGTATTAAGCATGGAGCAAAACATTCTCCATCTCTATTCAGGGCATCTGGTAGGTTCTTTGCAGTGCAGATACTCAAAGGAATGTTGCTACCCCATGGCACTATCAAGAGGATCTCACTAGTATGTTCTTCCGGGCTAGGACAGTAGCCTACATGTTTGCACAGCATTTAGGCACCACCCATATTACACAAATATTCACCTTCTAAGCATCAGGAGTAAGGCAAAAATTACTGCAATCTTTAAAATCACGGGCCTTTCAGCATGTAGGGAAGGTTCAAATGCATTTTGTAGATAGCTCCATTTGCTGGACCTTAGAAATTCCATAGCAAGAACTCACTGCTGCCAAAAAAAATTAAGCATGTGTTTTTGAAAGAGCTGCTATACAAAGATCTTTGGTTACAATACCTTTTGTAGCAGTTCTCTTCCTAGTTGGTTGTACTTTGCTTTGACACTTCTTTCATTGGAGGCTCAAAATTGATCCAATAATGCACATCAGCTACTTTAAACTACCTTAAAATGCTGCATGTTTAATTTCTAACAAAGTTGGTTTACGGGTAGATTGACGTATCTTCCCCAGTCTTCACCACATTAATATTAAACTGTCTTGCTGTGAAGTCTCACCAGGAAGCTGTTTTAAAAGTTTGTATGTTTGGATCCTAAGACTTGCCATGTGTCTTCCTTTTGATAATGTGTTACATTAGTTAACGCTGAGAGAAACAGGAGTACCACAAGAGACTAGAAATTGATATTTATTTGTTTTTAGATTTTGAATGGCGGAACTCCAGACATTCCCTCTGCTGGTTTACTATCTGGGCAGATCCAGGATAATTCTGGCTATCCCTATTCTGACAACTCCTCCATTCTTGGTAAGCAGAGTCAAACAATGCCATCAACAGTTTAGAGGCATGACAAAAGTAACTAGTCATCTCAAAACTTCAGCTTTACACAAAACTATCTAGAAAAATGATTAGGATTGAGAATATTTTAGGACATAGGACCAAGTAATACTCTTCCAAGGGAAATTAGTAATAAATGCCTTTAGCTCTGTACTGATAAATGTGTTACACCTTGGCTCCCTGCACACCCTAGCATGATCTCTTCATTCACAGAATAAAGTATATACACAATAGTAATTTATATAATGATTTCTCCAATGAAGAAAAGTGGTAAAAAAAAATAGTGCCTTCTAAACATCTATCCTATATGGTTTTCAACACCTAATTTTTCCCCTTTGGACTCTGAGCCCCTCATTTCCTTTCCTTCAGAAGCCCAAGTGCCGTTGTCAAATCATGCTGCTGAAAGTGAAATTGGATATATTTGAGAGTGGTCTAGGTTGGGCACTAGACTTGCTCATTGGTCACTTAAAACTGCTCCCCTGGACATTTTTCCCCTTTCATAAACCTCCTGTAGCCTGAGTCATCCACTAAATCAGAGGTGGGCAAATACCAGCCCACCAGGGTTAGCCTGTGATTGGCCCGACAGCTGTTTTTACATGTATCTCCGCAGGTATATGGGGTCTCAGCTCCCATTGCCTGCAGATCACCATTCCCAGCCAATTGGAGCGGCAATGGCCCATACTTGTGGAGATAAACATAGCAGCGGTTCACACATGCTACCCTGGTGATCCGCTGTTGTTTTATTGCCCATCCCTGCACTAAATAACTATTCAGTCCCACAGTTTACACAAATCCCATGGTGAATTATTTTGTCCTTGGGCTGAGTTCCCAGATCTGTACTGTAAGCATTGGTAGTCGGACATCTTCCCCCTCAGAATGCAGCTGAGCATGCTCACTCAATGCAGTTAGTTACTGACTTTTTCCTGAGAAATCATTTGATAGAATATGTGAAAACCACATTTTAAATGCTTGTTGCTGTTTGCTGCAGTTTTCTTTTAATACTTTCACAGGGGAGAACTCTCACATAGGCATAGATATGATAGACAACGACCAAGGATCAAGCAGCCCCAGCAACGACGAAGCTGCAATGGCAGTTATTATGAGCCTACTGGAAGCAGATGCAGGCCTTGGAGGCCCTGTAGATTTCAGTGACTTACCGTGGCCCTTGTAAATGTGACATTGATATTCAGATGCTGAATTTATAAGTGCATTATTGGTGGAGTTCTACAGTCTGTGAAGCTTGGATTATGAGAATAGCTTTTATGTATAAATTTCATAAAAGCCATATCAGAACACAATTCATTCTACCATGTGTTATTTCAGACAAAGTGGAGATACACATGCTACAGTGTTCTTGCATTATTGATTTGGTTAGCTGTGTATAACTTGCGTTAATTGTATATTTTGGGATTCTGTTCTTGTTGAATTTTTTTAAAAAAATCACTGCAACTCTGCACTGTTATCATTGGTAGCTTTTATATGCAAATAGTCATTTCAGATGTATGATGTGTTTTTACACTACAAAAAGCTCCCCATGTGGATATTTCTTATACTAATTGTATCATAAAGCTGTTTATTCTTTGTCAGAATACTATAAATATTGTTAAATTGTAATGTATTAGAACAGTTAAATATTTTTAAAATAAATGTTTCCCTTGTTCTAAAATGCAGCATTTACTTTATCCTAAACTTCTGATAAAACCCGGCTTAAGAAGCGTGCTAAGAGCCATAGATTGTGCCTTGTTACTTCAGAAAAAATAAATATTTAGTCCCAGGGCTTCATTCTCAGCTCACTTCAGCAAATTTCATATACACACGGGTGCTTTGTAGTTAAACACATTTCTAATGTTAGCCTTTTTTATAGATTTGGTTCTCCCACCATTTCAACAGCTTAAAAATCAAACTATCTTTGGAAGTTCAATCATTTAATAAATGTAAAGAATTATATTTACAATATTGTCTTACAACTGACACATCCCAATGGAGGAATATTAATGGGTTTTTATTCTGGGGGTGTTCTGATTGGGTGCATTGACACTTCTCCCTCTTATAAGTATGTCCTGTAGTTAAAACAGTTTCTCTAGTAACCTCCCCAGCAATACAATCTCTTATCTAGTTGTCATGAAGACGTAAACAATTTTAATATTTTGATTCAAAAGACAGGAATCCCAGAGCACTGGGGAATCTGAACTGGCACTCAATGACTGATAAGTGAAAAATTAAAGACTGATGCCATTCCTTCCATCAACACAGTCATACAGGAGAAAGGAGGAATAAGTAGAGAAGGAGTAAATGCAGACAGTCACTGGAATTTGACTAGTATATACAATTTTTGGTAAAAAATAACTCATTTGTCAAATTGATTAAAATAATGGAAATTTTATTTGAATGAAAAACTTGAATTTACAATCATTTAATAAATGAAGAGTGAACCACCTGCATTCTTCTATTCCATGACACGTATTACAAACTTTTAGTAAATAAATATCTCCATCAACAAATTCAGGTAAGGCAAAATTTAAGAGAAATCCTCCTATCAGTTGTTCAGACCTGTTGAACATGGCTCACATTACAAACAAGTGAAAAAAATTCACTGGAGAAATTTGAGTTGAGCAGAATGTTAAATGGGTAACTGAATAAGGTCCTCAATCCAAAAACCCCAGTGGTAATCATTTTATGCTTGCTCATATACAATACACTTAAGAGTCCATCTATTCAGAGCCAACTATTTACATTTAACTGAATAGACTTTGATAGAAGCACTTTCTTAAAGTTAGCATTGTGCAATACATTTATAAAAATGGCTTTGAGAATCCATTTACCAAGCAGCCATTCATAAAGTGCTACTATCAGTTCTGATTCTGCATTTTGCCCTCTGTAACAATATTGAATGTACAATAGCCAGCAAATCCCATTGTTTCTGATGGGCCTAGAGTGAGAAGGACAGTCCAGTGTACAAACAGCCAATATCACAAACCTACTCAAACAAATACATGTACATAACTGGAACCTCAGGATGTTTTAGCTGTACTCTCTAAAAACCATGATTACATACACCTTTGGTCTCTGCACTATCCTAAACACTGTGTTACACAATGAAGAAAAGCCGGAATTGCAGTGCAGCATGAGAGAGTGTCACTTTTTAAAGTAGCATGCTTTTGTTTGAATAAGAATCTGAATCAGAGTGCTGGGTTTTGTCCCTCTGCGTCCACATCATTGTTGCTGGGCGGAGGATGAATAGGTAAAATATCCAGCTCATCCACTTGTGGTGTGGGGTGCATTACCACTAGCTGGTCCTGAGGGATATCTGCCGCAGCTGCTGCTAAGTTTGTAATCGATTTACTTTTTACACACTGAAAGTCAACATGCCGACTCTTTCCTTCCTCTTTCTCCCAGGACATCCGAATGAACGGTCTTTGGACATAGTTGTAAATGACCTCTGGCCTCCCGCCTGGTCGTTTCTTCACTTTTTCTTTGTATGTGGGATAACCTAAAATATTAGAATAAAATGACAATTAAAGTTTCCAGCACTACTTAGCTCAAAGTTTTCCTTTCACCAGCATGTATCTGTTTGCTGAGACACACTGAAGTTAAGCAGTGACAGAGATGCAGCCGTGTTAGTCTGGTCTAGCTGAAACAAAAGACAGGACTATGTAGCACTTTAAAGACTAACAAGATGGTTTGTTAAATGATGAGCTTTTATGGGCCAGACCCACTTCCTCAGATCAATTTGTGGAAGAAAATTGGTATGACCATATATACCAAAGTGATACAATCAAAAAAAAGTGAAAACACATAAAAATTACAAATCAGATTTTAGAGAGGAGAAGGTTAGTTTCTGTGAGGTAATGATATCAGAGGTGATAATTGGGGAAGCTATCTTTAATGGGTGAGATAATTAGCATCTTTGTTAAGGCCCATACGTAAAATGTCAAATTAAAGCATGAATGACAATTCTGAGGCTTTTCTTTGAAGCAATATGCATGTTTTAAGGTCATTGAGAGAATGGTCAGTCTGGTTAAAATGGTAAGCAAAAGTTCTCTCTCTGTGAAAGAGTTAAGCAGCTCTGTTTCCCTGTTAGCATAGAGAATGATGCAGGACCAGAGGTTTTTTTAAACATCTTGCATTCCCCAGTTTATGAACAAAGCACAAAAGTTTACACACGTTAGCTAAAATCCAAGACAGACACTAAGGCCATTTACTATGAAAGCAACTTTCTGGACCCAGTGAAGAGAATACCTGTAAAAGCAATGCTAATAGCTCTCCCCTCCCGGCAGACTTTAGTATGCTACACTCAACAGCTCTATTAGTACAGTGGTTTTGACTTTTTTTTCATGCAACCCAGTTGAAGATTGTTGATGCCCATGACCCAGCATAATTCTATCTTTTTGGCTAGAGTGCAGGCTCCAGGATGGGGCTGTGGGGTTTGGTTGGGGGTAATAGTGAAAGCTTTGCCTAAGGTGTGGGCTTTGGGTGGGGCCGGAGACGAAGGGTTTGGGGTGCAGGCTGTGGGGCAGAGGGATTCAGTATGTGGGCAGGGACTTTGGGCTGGGACCTAGGGGTGGAGTACAAGAGGTGCAAGCTCTGTCTCGAGGTGCAGACAGGAGATGGGGCCAGTGATGAAGCGTTCAAGGTGCACGAGTGGTGTCTGGGTTTGGGACAGGATTGGTGGGGTACAGTCTTACCTCCCGCAGTGCCCGGTCAGTGATGCGGTGGGATGGTAAGGCAGGCTTCCTGCTTATCCTGGCACAGTGGACAGCACTTCACCCTTTACAGGCTGCCCCCACCCCAAGCTCTAACTCCACACTCCCATTGGCCGGTTCCTGGTTTGTCTCCAGGCATTGCTGAGCAAAAACGGACAGAGCTCATTTTGGGCTTGGTTTGAAATAGGATTGGCTTCATTTTTTGTGGCTTGTTTGTGAGAGTTAGCTACTGGCCTCCACCTAAGAGCCGGACCTGCTGCCCAGGGCACAGTACAGTCTGAAGTGCCACGATAGGCAGGAAGCTGGTCACCTTGTCACTACAGCAAGGCAGGCCAGTGCGCCCTGTCTTTCTGTGACCCAGTATTGGGTCACAAACCACACTTTGGAAAAAAAATATCACTGCTTTAGAGAACATGACCATTCATTCCAAAACAATCAGATGCATATTTTAGGGTTAGTGAGCTAGATTCATCCAGCTCCATTGCCCTAACTGGCAAGTGGAACTATTGCATTTGTGTGACTATTTATGTAAGATCATAAACAAGCTCACATTTCTTAAATTACAATGCTGAGTTCAGTTCTTGCTTCTAAAAATTTAAGAACCCTGATCACTTTACAGTCCATTAGCTGTCCTTTGCCTGACCAAAGTTGTGCTAAAGGGTCTTCTAGGCTGGAAGAAGGCTGTCATGAATACAACTGGCCAACACTGCTCAAACTACTTTTAGGGGGGAATTTTCCTTGACAATTTTCATAAAATCTGGCTTATTGCATTTTTGAATGACAAAATTTTTGTTTATGGAAAACCAGTGTTCAGTAAGCATCAAATGCTTTTCCTGCTTTCCTATCAACTGCTCTAGTATTACAGTTCCGAGTGACCCAGTTCCTCCCTCCCTCTTCAAAAAATGTTCTTCAGTGAAAAGGTATCTTACAATTTGGATAGAAGCCAACAGGATGAACAAATTAGTTTCAACCATAAAACAGACTAATATGCCAATACCACTGACTTACAATAGTTCATACAGCAACGTAGGAACAATGGCTTATATAGCAGGGTCTTTGCCAGAGGATTAGCTTGAAAGCAATGAAAATTAGTTTTACCTTCAATACCCAATCGAATCTTCTTGAGTCCCCTTTCCTTCAGAACAGACTTGGCCACATCTCTGTTTTCAATATACTTGAAGAATCTATACAACTTTGTGCTGTAAATAACTGGGAAAATTGCATTTCAGAGATTAATAAAAAGTTGTACCAAAAATTTTTAGCCTCCAGTTAAAAACCTCCAATGAAGATGGTCTAAGTAGTGCTTACAAATGAGGCCAAGAGGACTGATCAATACCAGTTTAACATTACCTCGAATTCAATCATAAGGGATCATAAGCTCGTATTCCATTATTTTCTATAAATCTGTAATTCCACTTGAAACGTCTTAAAAATCTAGGCTACTTTAAGTTAACTAAGATTGAAATCTGAGAAAAATAAAGGCATATGTTCCAACATAGCTTAAGGCAGGGCTACTCAGCACACGGCCTGCAGCCCATTTGTTTGCAGCCCGCAATGCAGTTTGGGTTTATGCGGGGCTGAATATGTGGCCTGTGGGTGGGATCCTTTGAACATAAAAGACCGAAGCAGACAGGTACAGAGTGTCAGCATTTCTAGCCCCCAGGTAGGTGGTGCCAGGAGCACAAGGAGCATTGTGAGAAGTGCTGGCTGCTTAGCCTTGTGGGTAGAGCCTGAGAGGTGCTGACTGGCTCATACTGGCCATGTTTGGTTCCAGCACCAGGGTTTAAGGCTTAATCCTGTCAGTGTATTATTTGCATATACATTTGCATGCATAAACTTAAGTTGTAGCCCTTGGCATGTGCTGGGGATATCATTGTGGCCCCCGGGGCTTCCAAAGTTGAGTAGCCCTGGCTAAATGTATATAAACTGATGGACTGGACGGTTTCTCCCACGGTGCTCATTCATGTTTATATTAGGGATGCTAGTGGGTAGGCTCTGTAGCCCTTGACCCCTTCCTGTTTTCATGCCTCTAATACAACAAGTCCCACTAGCATGCATCACAACTCCCCTTCTCCCTCCACTGCCTCCCACACAGGCCGGAGTGGAGGGGAGGGCAGGTGGGAGCCTTTGTGCAAGGGTGCAAGGAGAGGCTGATGGCTCCACAGAACTCTTGTGGAGCCACCTGCCCCCTATGCAGCTGCCTCTATCAGGAGGTGGGGGAAGGCGGGTTCCCCACAAGCACTGGCTCCTGCCTATCGTCCCTCCCCCCATGTCAATGTGTAACTGATAATATGTTAAGCAGTTACACATTTAC